CGGCAATGGTCCTACGATATCAAGCCCCTACTAGGCGAACGACCAGGGACTGGTGATAGAGTTCAACTCTTTAGCAGGCAAATGGTTGAACGGGGAGAACTTTTGGCACTATTCACACTTTTTTGCATAACACTCGGCGTCCATTCTCATTGTCGACCAATAATACCTCTGCGTTATAGCTCGATGGGCCAAAGAGCGTCCGCCAGAATGGGCACCACAACTGCCTTCGTGTATCTCAGTCAGTAGCTCCTCGACTTTGTCCGGGTGCACACATTCCAAATATGGGCCAAAGAGTGACTTTTTATAAAGCTTTCCTTGCGGATCCAAGTAGTATCGTATGGCTTTGTTTCGCAGCTGGGAGTTGTTCAGAAGATAGGAATGCAATAATGGGATTCATCCAACTTGGTGCAGATTCCATAACGTTGATTTGGAATTCCTCCGAAGGGCCAATGCTTGGCTCTGGGATGAATCCTACTTCGATGGTCCGTTTAATCTCTGAGTTGATTGCGGAGGCTAGGCAAGCCAAGGCATCTGCATGGGTGTTCTGATCGCGTGTTATCTGGTTTAACTCATGATGGTCAAATTTTGCCAACAAGGAATTGGCCGTTTTCATGTAGGCCGCCATACGGTCGTTTCTTGCCGCGTACTCCTCCTTTAGCTGATTGATCATTAGTTTTGAATCACAAAACACAAGTAGATGCCAAGCACCCAGAATATGTGCATTCCGTAAACCAGCTAGAAGGTCTTCATAATCGGCTTCGTTATTTGATGCTTCGAAGCCGAGATTGATGGCCTGCTCAATTATTGCGCTGTCGGGAGTCATGATTATAACTCCAGCTCCACTGCCCTGCTGATTGGACAATCCATCACAATACAACTGCCTGATGTCCCCAACATAAATCCTCCAGTTCGGCTTCGGTCGAATTTCATCTGACTTGAAGTCGGCAACACCAGACTTGAAGTCGGCAAGGCCCCTAGTGAATTCGGCGATAAAGTTGGCTAGCACCTGTCCCTTGATTGAGGTTCTGGGTAGAAATTGAATATCATACTGGCCAAGTTCCAGAGCCCACTTTAAAACACGTCCAGATGCTTCCGCACTGCGTAGTACTGATCGGAGGGGATAATCTGTTAGTACCCCAATGCTATGCCCTTGGAAGTAATGCATGAGCTTCCTTGCCGCCATAACTAGGGCTAGGATGAGCTTTTTCAATGGAAGGTAGCGTGTTTCGGCGTCAACCATTGCCTTGCTCACATAATACACTGGCTGCTGTTCCCCTAGTTCTTCTTTTATCAATACGGCGCTGACAGCTCGGTCAGAAACTGCCAGATACAAAATGAGCGGGTCGCCAGCAGAGGGTGTTGTCAGAAGTGGTACTGAGCAGAGGTAGGTCTTCAGGCCGTTGAAAGCGGTTTGGCACTCGACGGACCATTCAAAAGCCTTGCCCTGCCGTAGTGTATGAAAGAATTGTCGGCAGCGATCTGTGGACCGACTGATAAACCTGTTGAGTGCGGCAGTCATCCCCATCAACTTTTGAACCTCTTTTACTGAACGAGGGGAGCTGAACTCCAGGATTGCTGTGATTTGCCTTGGGTTGGCTTCGATTCCTCTGTGGTTGACAATGTAGCCCAAGAATTTGCCAGAGCCGATACCAAATGCACATTTGGAAGTGTTCAACTTCATTCTATATTTGTGTAGGATGCCGAATGTCTCTTCCAGATCGGCTATATGATTCTTCTCTTCTTTGGCTTGACCACCATATCGTCAATGTACACTTCCATAGTTTTTCCGAGTTTCTCCTTGAACATGGTGGTGACCAGTCTCTGGTAGGTTGCCCCTGCATTCTTCAGCCCAAAGGCATTACCTTATAGCAATAGGTTCCTCTTGGGGTGAGGAATGCAGTTTTTTCTTGGTCCTCCGGATGCATAGCGATTTGGTGATAACCTCTGTAGGCATCAAGGAAGCTCATACGCTGATGGCGCGCCGTAGCATCTACAAGCTGGTCTATCCTGGGAAGAGGAAAACAATCCTTTGGGCATGCTTTGTTTAGGTTCGTGAAATCGACGCACACTCGCCAAGTTCCATTTTCCTTCTTCACCACCACTGTATTAGAGAGCCATGTAGGGTAGGTCACCTCCCTAATTGCCCTGGCGTTAAGCAGCCTGTTAACCTCCTCAACGACGGCGGCAGTGTGCTCTGCGGTGGACTGCCGACTTTTTTGAATGATCGGCTTGCACTTAGGATCGACATTCAAATGGTGCTGTGAAACTGACGGATCTATACCCGGCATCTCGTACGGAGTCCACGCAAAGACATCGAGGTTGCTGAGCAGGAAAGATATTAGCTGCTGTCTGTCGGCCTAACTCAAAGAGGCGCCGACCATGAAGAACTTGTCTGGGCTTCCATCGATTTCAACTCGTTCTAAGCCTTCCGTGGCCTTTTCATTTGGGAGCCGCCCAACATCGTCGAGGCTTTCTCGATCCAGCATATCAATGGAATTCACCTGTAGTTCCTTCAGCATTTTCTCAACAAGGAGATAGCATGCCTGTGTCGATTTCTGGGAGCCACGGATTTGCTCAATATCGCATTCTGTTGGGAAGCGGAGCAACTGATGATAGGTGCGTGGCACGGCTCGCATAGTATGCAACCCGGATTGTGTGTGTAGGATTATTTTATTGGATAGATTAGTAATTAAATTAACTTATATGGGTCATTTATTAATATCAAAGAATTAGTTATGAGATGGCATTATATTTCCTATTACTTAGATGGGTAATTTTGTAACTTTGTGAAATTAGGTTAATATGCCCACCTATTGTGGCTTTGGACTGCTGACTTTTTCGAATGATCGGCTTGCACTTAGGATCGACATTCAAATGGTGCTGTGAAACTGACGGATCTATACCTGACATCTCGTACGGAGTCCACGCAAAGACATCGAGGTTGCTGAGCAGGAAAGATATTAGCTGCTGTCTGTCGGCCTGACTCAAAGAGGCGCCGACCATGAAGAACTTGTCTGGGCTTCCATCGATTTCAACTCGTTCTAAGCCTTTCATGGCCTTTTCATTTAGGAGCCGCCCAATATCGTTGAGGCTTTCTCGCTCCAGCATCTCAATGGAATTCACCTGTAGTTCCTTTGGCGTTTTCTCAGCAAGGGGATAACATGCCTGTGCCGATTTCTAGGAGCCACAGATTTGCTCAATACCGCATTCTGTCGGGAAGCGGAGCAACTGATGATAGGTGCTTGGCACGGCTCGCATAGTATGCAACCAGGATCGCCCCATGATGAGATTATACGGCGACGGTAGCTTGATGACCAAGAATCCTACATCCACTGTTCGAGAACCTGCTTGAACGGGAAGTCTAATTTTCCCCAACGGGTACTCTAGATTGGCATTGAAGTCGAATAGTGGATAAGGGGTCGGAGAGAGATCCAATTCGAAGAAGCCGAGTTTGGTGAATGTCTTGTAGTACATAATCTCCGATGTGCTCCCTGGATCAATGAGTACGCGCTCAACTGTGAATCGGTTTACGCGTAACTTAATTACCAAGGGATCAATGTGGGGCAGTGTTACTCCGGCCAAATCCGAATCATCAAAAGTGATAACCTCGGCTTCATGGGGCTGTTTAGTCGGAGTGAGTTGCTCTTGTGGGTTAGACTTCGACTGAATCGCGTGCACCGCCGATGACATTGGCAGGCTGTATATCATGTGGATCAAGCGGAGTGAATGTGAATCCTGTCTCAAGGCTATTGCTTTGGTTGGGTTGCCTTTTCAGACGTACTGTTGTAGCTGGCCATCTTGCACCAATTTACCGTCGTACGAGGTGAATGACGGTGCTTTGAATTTCTTGAATAGTACTGCTTTTACAATCCGTCATACAAAAGGATCGTGTTGATCTTCATCAGTACTGTTTCTTCTTCGCTTACACCTTGTACTGGGACTCTCTTCAGAAGAACTAGAAATTTCGGATCGTCCATTCTTCTTGGGCTCCGAGGATAATAGGTCAGAGTTGCTATCAGTATCTTGTTGTCGGGCTCGAGATCGTTGACCACCTGCCTTCGGAGATCGTTCCGGATTTAGGCGTACAGCTGGTTTGGACTTCACCACTTCCAAGGCCAAATCTTCACGAAGACGTTCGTTCTTCGCGATCATGTTCTCTAACCTTTGTTCGTTTTGCTTTGCTTGTTCCATGATCGCTTGCATTGCTTCATGCTCTAGAGTCGAGGGTGAGGCAAAGTTTAGAGCGCGTCTTACAGGGACGGTGTCCGGTCCAAGCATGTTTGATGGAGTGAGGTCGTCTCTTTGCGTTGTTTCATCAGTGACTATCAGAGGGTCTTTCGTTGCGCTCACCATAGATGTGTTTGAGTATTCCCACAGACGGCGCCAGTTGTGGAGAAGTGGTTTGGAAATACTTTTTTGATCTTGGGGGGAGCTCGTGATCCGCTGATAGTCACCTGAAAAGGAATAAACACTCCGGTCGGGGGTGTCGAAATTAGCACTCCGACGGACAAGTCAGTCTCCACACTCAAGAATGCTTGTATTCTAAGTTCAGCACAACAATTCTCACATACCTTTCTAATTCTGTTGCTCCTTTATTTATACTTGTTCCATGGGCCTCAGGATTAGGTCCATTTCTAACTCCATATTCGGCACATTTTGTAGTAGACTACTCTTTACTCGGCCTCTTGCTTCATCAGTTATTTGGCCGAGTAAGGTTGGATTCGAGCTTGCGAACCGATGCTGAGTGCCACGAATTTCGACTCTCCTAGGTCCGACTATCCGGAATCTCTACGACTCCCAATACTCGGCCCCCACATGAACATACTTAAGGAGAACTACACTTACGCCAACCAGGACGATCTCTATGTTGCGCTACGATAACGGCATAAGGACTGGACTGAGCTCTTGAATTTTGAACCAATTTACTAATACAACGGTAAGCGAAAGAGCAAGGTTACAGATTTTTTATTGGAGACTTTGTAAAACCCAAGTTGTGTGTAGGATTATTTTATTGGATAGATTAGTAATTAAATTAATTTATATGGGTCATTTATTAATATCAAAGAATTAGTTATGAGATGGCATTATATTTCCTATTACTTAGATGGGTAATTTTGTAACTTTGTGAAATTAGGTTAATATGCCCACCTATTGTGGCTTTAAGTCATGGAAAACAAACAAAGCAGAGGCTATGAATTGCTCCATAGGCGGCTAGGGTTTGAGAAGGTAAAATAAAAAAAGAAAAGAAAAAGAGAAGAGAGGTTCAAGTGAGGCTACAATAGGGATTGAAGGCAGCACGTTGGTGATTTTTGGGACACCCATTGGTTAAGGTAAAATCTGTCTTTACTGTTAATTATTAAGTTTATGTTGAGGAATTTAACAATCAATGCATTAAGGGGATTTGGAAGATCTATAAGTGTTTACTTAGGTTTTGAGAATTGGGTGCAATGTGTAAGTGTAACTTTGGGTGGGTAATAGAAACAATGGAGTTTTGTATCATGGGTAAAGGTGTGTTTGGCTATAAAGTTGGGTTGAATGGTTTGATCTCTTGGATATTAAAGTAATACATTAATCTAATATAGTGGTGCTTTTGTGGGTGTTTGTAACATGTAAAAAATATTAATTTATTTGAGGTTTTATTTATTAGGTTTGTGTGATTGAAGTGGTGAAATTGGGTGTTTGGAGTTGGTGTTGGAGTGTTATTTCTAAGCGTTTGAGGTAAGTAACCCTCTATCACTGTTGGTTCATTTTTATTCCTATCAAATCGTTTGAAATCATAAATATTTATTTATATCCTTCATGTTCTCTTAAAATAAAATATGGGTCAAGTATAAAACAACATCGAATATTATTATGAAAATTATTTGAATATTTGATGAAACTATTTTGAAAATTGTACTAAACATTTATTCTGAAAATATCGAATGTTTTATTTGAAAGTTGTGTATTGTTTGAATTTTGAACATCACTCTAGTCTGACTATGATTTGGACCCTAGCCAATGGGGGTTATTTATTGGCACAGAAACTAGTTTCTTTTGGGGCTTTACCACTGGCCTGTGTGTGGTTCTGGGCCTTGTCACGGGCTAAGTGACCGTAGTCACCAAGACTTGGGTTTTGTGAATTGTATCATTGAACCATTTGAATATCGAACCATCAATTTTGAACAACGAAATTTCATCGAATTACCTCATTGTCTTTTCAATTAAAATGTATTGCTACACTGTTTATTTTCAACTACGAAACCATCTTACAAAATAATTGTTCATTTATTGAATGGTAGCAAAAAATATATTTATTGGTTATCGACTATTTTTTTTGTATACTTGATCCAGCTAATAGTGATGGTTGGTTATTTACTGGGCTGTCTAGCTTACCCTTATTTTATTTTTCAGATTCTGAGGAGTAGAGCTGTGCAGGGTTTTTACTTGTGGGAGTGCCGAGAGTAGGACTATGATTTAAGTATTTGGATCATTATTATTATTATTATTATTTTTATTAGTAGACTTGGTGGACAATTTCATATGATAAGAATTATCTATTCGTATGGTTTTTAGCATTATGATATTTAAGGATTTAATTTGAGTATTTTACATTGTTGGTTATGTGTTGGATTCTTAGCCTTGCATGCTCACTTAAATGAGTGTGCGGCGTTGTCACGGAGCTTGGGGCGTGACAGACTTCACCTGAGTTAGACCCAACTCTCCTCCAAATCAATCTTATTCCCCTCACCGAGGAGCAAGAGATGGAGAAGAAGAGAGCCATCTGATCTCTAATCACCGAGCAAGCCCTTGCCGAGACCCAAACCGAGCAGTGCCCTGCAGAGAAACTCCGTGAAGCTGTTGTCGCCCTCCTAATTGCGAGGGCGTCCTCATCTCGGCCTAGCAAGAGGGCTTGCACCTCATCTACCAAACAACAACGGCTAGTGGATGAAAATGAGATCGAGCTGCCGGTAACTGAACTAGCCCAAGGAGGCCGCCGTGCTACTCCTTTCCCCCGGCGTGGGCACCGGCTATAACATATAAGGGCCGAGCTATATGATCACCATCGATTCAGTCTATGTTGAGAAGGATCACCAGTTGGCCTTTAACTTGGCCAAGAGTGTTTGCCTGCTAGCCAATATGGAGCGGTATGAACAATTGACTGAGCTGAAGGCAATATAGTCTGCCACGAAGTCTCTTATTCTGGTGAGTAAACGTTCTTCATGTTCTTTGTTCCCAACTTTTTTTCTTGGTTTGTTAATTTTTTACTATGTGAATTGTAGGCCATACAGAAAAACCACGTTGTCCACCAACGTGTGCTCAAATTGTGAAAAACTGCCCGAGCTGCCATTGTTGATAGTGAGAAAGATGCCAAGTTGAAAGAGCTTAGGGTAGCCTGGCCGAGCTAAATACCGAAAAGGAAATGCTAACTGAGCAGGTCCATATGGCTGAAGCAGACAAGCAAAAGGCTTTAGTGGAGAAGAAAGACCGTTATATGTGTGAGCTCCCCAAGCTAGAAAGAGCGAATGATGCTGAAATAAAGGCCCTGGAAAAGAAAATGGAGGATGCTGAGGACTGTGGTTTTAAGAAAGGTGAAGAAACCTACATCTAACAATGTGAAGCAGCCAAGGATATTTTTTTTAAATGCGGTTGGGAAGTGGCAGTGGAGCATCTCGGCCAGGTGCATGATTCTACAGTTTTCCTGAATCCTCCTTTACACATCATACCGAGCTACATGGCGGTATGCCAGTGCTATTCAATAGAAAGTTTTGGAGGTAGAGGAGGAGATCCCAACACGAACAATGCTCCTCCGTTGATTGGTGATTTCGGTCGACAAAGCTCATTGCCTGCTTGATCGGAAGTGCCAAGCCAGACCAAGGAAAGCCTAGTCGTCGAAGAAGCATCACTGATTTAATATTAGAAGATGGTGCTGGAGCCGAACTAGTGAGTGCTGAAGTCGATGTTGGTGCAGATGTCGAGCTGGATGACTTGTTTGGGTGATCGTGATGGAGCTGCTCTTGTAGTTTCCATTTTTGTAGTTTTTACTTTTCTACTTTTTACCTTTGCTATGTAACCGGGCTATTAGCCCCATCGCTTGTATTGACTATGAACATCAATGAAAATATTTTAACTTTTTGCTCGCTAATTGTTTCTTTCTTTCCTGATTTGAACTTTCTGTGCTCTGCCATTTATGAAAAGTTAGTCAAATCTGCCAACCTTCTTTGGTTGAGATGACTATCTCGGTCAAAGAGTTCAAAAAGTTAGTCAAACTTGCCAACCTACTTTGGCCGAGATAACCATCTTGGCCAAAGAGTTCGAAAGTTGGTCGAACCTGCCAACCTTTTTTGATCGAGAAGACTATCTTGGTCAAAGAGTATGAAATTAGTCAAACCTGCTAACCTTTTTTGGCCGAGATGACCATCTTAGTCAAATAGTTCAAAAAGTTGGTCAAACCTAACAACCTACTTTAGCTCAGATAACTATCTCGGTCAAAGATTTTCAAAAGAAGTTGGTCAAACTTGCCAACTTTCTTTGGCTAAGATGACCATCTCGGTCAAAGAGTTCAAAAAGTTGGTCAAATCTGCCAACCTACTTTGGCCGAGATAACCACCTCAGCCAAAGATTTCCAGAAAGAGTTAGTCAAACTTGCCAACCTTCTTTGGTCGAGATGACCATCTTGGTCAAAGAGTCCAAAAAGTTGGTCAAACCTGCCAACCTACTTTGGTCGAGATGACCATCTTGGTCAAAGAGTCCAAAAAGTTGGTCAAACCTTCCAACCTACTTTGGTCGAGATAACCATCTGGGTCAAAGATTTCCAGAAAGAGTTAGTCAAACTTGCCAACCTTCTTTGGTCGAGATGACCATCTTGGTCAAAGTGTTCAAAAAATTGGTCAAACCTGCCAACCTACTTTGGCCGAGATAACCATCTCAATTAAAGATTTTCAGAAAGAGTTGGTCAAACCTGCCAACCCACTTTGCCCCTGGTTGTGCAAAGATTTTTACATACAAACTGAAATAAATACAAGTATTTAAAAATTTTTAGAAGAAATTATTTACTTCTTTTATTAAATATTGAACAAAAGGTTGGAAGAAATTACAATTATAAAGGGCTAAAAATAAAATATCTTGAGATTGGCTATATTCCATTACCTTGGGATAGCTCGGCCGTCATTGTCTTTCAAGTGGTAAGCTCCCTTTCCTGCAAACCCCACTACTTTGTACGGCCCCTCCTAGTTGGGTCCTAATTTTTCGTCTCTAGGCACCAAAGTATTTCCTATTACTTTGTGTAGTACCCAATCTCCAATCTTGAACTGCCTTGGATGCACCGCCTTGTTGTACTTTATGGACAATTCTTGCTGATATGAGGCGATGTGGATTAGCGCCCTTTCTCTTCGTTCTTCAGCAAGGTCTAGTTTCAAGGTAATTGCTTCGTCATTCAAATCTGGGTCAAAATTTTCGCTCCTAATGGTGGGAAGGCCTACTTCCAGAGGTACCTCTGCTTCCATGCCGTAGGCCAAGGCAAACGGTGTTTCTTCGATTGATCGCCTCAGTGTAGTCCGGTAGGCCCACAAGACATGGGGATGTTCCTCAGCCTATTTTCCTTTTGTTTTTTCTAACCTCTTCTTCAAACCATCTAAGATCACTTTGTTGGACGCTTCGGCTTAGCCGTTGGCTTTAGGGTACGCCGGAATAGAGTTATAGAACTCTATCTTATGCTCTTCGCAAAAACCCCTAAAGATTCCTTCATCAAATTAGGTGCCTTTGTCTGATATTAAGGCTTTAGGAATTCCAAAACATGTTATGATATTCTGCTAGACAAACTTCTTGATGTCTTTCTCTTTAATGGATACAAGTACTTCAGCTTCCATCCATTTTGTGAAGAAGTTTATTACCACGATGAAAAAATTTCTGTTGCCTAGTGCGGTTAGGAGTGGTCCTACTATGTCTAAGCTCTACATTGTAAAGGGCCAAGGGCTGGTTAGAAGTAGAAGCTCTCTGGTCGGCTGATGGATTTGATGTGCAAATTTTTGGCATTGTTCACATTTTTTGACATATTTCTCCGTGTCGGCTTGCATGCACGGCCACCAATATACTTGCAAGATAGCTCGGTAGGCTAAAGATCTCCCCCTTGATGGCTTTCACAAATGCTTTCATAGATTTCAAACAGAAAGGCCTTGACCTTAATAGGATGGACGCACTTGAAGTATGGTCCAATGAAAGACTTTTTGTATAGTGCTAGAGATGGAGAAATTCAAAATCATTATGACTTTGTTCGAATCTTGTTTGCCTCCTTCTTATCCTTTGGCAAGATCCTATCTTTCAAAAAGGTGATGATGGGATCCATCCACAAGGGACCTAGCTCGGTGCAGAATACCTCGGCCGTTTCAGGTTCCTTGATGCTCGGTCTTGGCAGGAAGTCAATTAGACAAGGATGTGGGATAGAAGTGTCTGCCATCGACGCAAAACCAGCCAGTTCATCTACCTTGCTATTGTCCTCTTAGCTGATTTGTTTTATTCTCATGACTTTGAATTTCATGATCTCGTTTCTGACCAGCTTCTGATACTTGGTCATTCTGTCATCCTTCGCTTCATAGGAGAGAGAGAGAGAGAGAGAGAGAGAGAGAGAGAGAGAGAGATGGGAAAAGGGTTTCAAATTGCAACTTAAATAATGGGAGGCTACTTAGCCTCCAGGAAAACTTGGAGCCAAAGAAAAGGAAAAATATATATATAAAATGAAAAAAAAAATAAAGGACAAAGAAATGATGGCAAATAAAATAAGAAAAGATAATTTACTTGGAGGCAAAGAAAAGTTACTTAGAGAGAAAGAAAAGAACATTTATTAAGAAGGAAAGAAAAGAAACATGGAATGGCACCCATGTGAATTTTGTTTGGAGCACAAGCAAAATAAAATAGAATAGAAAACTTAAGAGATGTATAAAATGAAGAGGTAGAGATAAAAAGAGATAAAACAAGTTAAGTTTTTAGCTAAAAATCTCACCACCAAACTACTCTAATAAATCACTAATTCTTCCCATTAAAATATTAAAATTTAAAAATATGGGATTTCACATTCTATCCCCCTTAAACAAATTTTGTCCTTGAAATTCACAATCTCTAATATTCCAAAATTTAAATACTACTAACTTCTCAAATAACACACTTTTGCTACATATTGTAATATAAACAACTATTTTTTTTAACCTCAAATATCAATCATTTTTTTTTTACCTCAAATATTGAACCCAAATATTAAGAACCCAACAAATCCCATGTAAGACCTAATCCCTAGAATACCATTCTGTAACGCCCCAACTTCCGGACCATTAATAAATCAAATCAATCTCAAATTTAAAATTCTAACTAATTAATAACCTCAAAAATACAAATTGGCTCCAAAATAATTACACAAATGTCTATAATTTATAATTTATACAAATCTTCAAAAATAATATATAGTGGTGGGCCCAAAAATCTCCAAATCAATAATCCTTTAAATGCTTTAACTCCAATCGCCACTAGATTTGCTCCACACCAGAAAAATAAATTAATTCGGGAAGTATACAATATGACAGGAATAACAATGCTCAGATAAAGAATAAATTAATAGGGATCCAACAATTTACGACATGGCATAAACAATTTGATTCGAGATACTAAGAAATTTACCAAATTGCACAAACAAG